GTGTACAGCAGCATGCGTTAAGGATAAGTGTGACATCGCTTTCTAACAGCACCATCAAAGTCGCGTTCAGGACATCAGCAAGAATACTTTGAACGCGGTACTTAATGAAAAAATTCATGAACTTTCTTCGCACTACAATGGGGGTCTCGTTTATGTGCATGATGGAAAGTAATTACCTATGGTATTCATTTGCCGTAATTTAAAGAAAAAGTGCAGTAGTTTCTAGCTAATCGGTTTTAGAAAGTTTGGGGGTAACTACTTAAAGGGAACCCGCTTTTGGGGTAACGGCTTCAAAAAGGTTGGGAACCCCTAGTTTAGTGGCACAAGCTTCCGGCATCCAGAAGTCATGGGGTCGTCACCCCAAGGACGCCGAGGAACGCGCAAAGCTGACGCGAACTAGGAGGTCGAAATTGTTGTCCAGTGCTTTTCCCGATGCGTCGGAACCTGTGTGACGGAGGTGATTGTGAGGAAGTACACCTAAAAGTACACAAAATCCTCACTACTCAGCAGTTATAAAGCCTTTTAAGGCAAGTCGTGTAATCTCATCACAAACAAAGAAGCCAGTATCGCCTTAGTTAAAAAGCCGGAAGTGTATGCTCAATACATCGGACGTAGGGAATTTCCACAGTTCCCAAATATCGCTACAGTCAAAGAGGAGCTGGGGGATTAAAACTTGATTGTTTAGCCAGTCATTTACAACAACATCGAAACGAAATGAAAGACAGGTTTCATAATCCGATTGACATGGAAATTCCGATTGGGATTTTAGATCCATTTGATGTACAGCCCTGCAATGTTGGAGTTAAAAGTCAGAAAAGTCTCATAGGGCTTCAAAGCGACACACTAGCCAGATCCATATTCACGCAATAGAAAATTTTTTGAATACAATGACGCCCAAACTGTGGAAAATAGCTGAAAAATATTTCCTTGCTTTTCTATCCACATACTTGGTTGAATGTGGATTCAGCAGAGTGGTTTCTCTGAAAAGAAGTAGAAACAGATTGGGCATCACAGCAAGAGGAGAGATTCGACTCTCACTGGCGTCTGCAGCTGGACATAAGCAAGCTTGTTCAAGAATATCAGGCTCAAGGCTTGCATTAATATCTCGACAAAAATATTGCTAAGAAATAACCATACAGTTTAATATACCACATGTTTTACAGTTAAAGGTTAAGGATGATTGAATACAAGTTTAACGATTAATGATGACCTTTGTGCAATTACGGATAATTGGTTTAATGTTGCTGCACAATGAATGTCAGCTTGAGGCTATGGAAGTTAAAAAGGAGGTTTATAAGGGAAAGAGCAGTGATGTCAATATTAGGAATTTAGCCATCATAACGAAAGTCACTGATATGATCACAGATTTACGTCTGTTTGGCGTTGTGGATCGCTGAAAGTATAGTGGTCAAGGGTGAAGGCCATGAGAAATGGTAAAGCTCAGAAGGGACCCACGGTTGAATAGAGGTTGAGAATGCCTGGTCTAGAGCTTCTATAGATGTGGCTGTATAAAGGAGTTTGGCTGCAATGAGCCAATTCCAAAAAACAGTTTAGCCTGGTTCGTTAATTGTGCCAACTTTGTTTGTGGTCTGTTATATTGGAAGGTAAGTGTACGACTGCAACAGGAGTCGTTCGTTGTGTTCCTGAAATCTAGTTCAAACGGGTTGTTTCCATGGTTTGAAGTGCATAGCCAGGATGATTTTCGAGAGGATCCGTCGCAGTTACACTCAATCAGACAGTCACCATACATCCAGGAAGGTGGTAGACGGCCGCTTCGTCCTATTTGGACTCAGCATTAGCGCATATTTAATGGCTCTGGCGGGATCCGAACCCATGACTTCACTCTTACAAGACGGTAGCGCACCGCTATGACTGGATTCCAACTGTGGCAATGTAGCCCATCTTCCAGTGATATGCATGCTATGAACGTGCGGAGGACATGACTGGTTCACAGATCCAGGAGTACCTTCACAAGCCGCCATCAATCGAGACATAAGGTAAGCTCCTAAGGCTCAGTGGTATAAGTCACTGGATCGTAAGATCATGGGTTAGAAGCCAGCAGCCCTACTGATGAGTCCCGAAAGAACGAGACGGGCGTCTAGCGTCTTTCTAGGTGTGCGGCGACCCTCTGGCTGAGTTCAGCTGTGACGAATTTCCTCAAAAACATAATAACCACCCTACAAAACTCTAATAGTCGAAGTGAATTAGCACTGTGGACTAAAACGCTCAGAAGAAGACAGAAAGCACCACTCGCAGGAAATAGAATTGGCTTATCAAGCCACAGTTAGCTACTAGGAACTGTCGACGCCTGGTGTTGATCTTTCCAGATGACGGGTGCGATCAAGTTACCACCATTAGTGGGCGCCAATATCGCCTGTGGTTATCATATGGAGCTAAAAGGTGGACTAACTAAGTGGATTCCGCTGATATAGCCTCCACACAAAAGGTGTGAAGCAATAGCGTGATCATAAGACCGATGGCCGTGTGGAGCCTGCATCATAGTTTCCGAAACGCTATACACATAAACAGCTAGTGTTAGGAATGCATGCAATCTTGACCTGCCTCATTCGGTTACAGGACAGTATATAGAGTGCAATCAGCAGTGATCGCCGACTGGTTATTATCGGAAGCGACGAAGAATCCCAAAATGTATCAGCCTAGAAGCAGTCAGGTTCACGAGTGGTGAGCATGCTGATTCATTTTCTCGGGGGCTACGCAAAAGTGGTGAATGATTGGGTTAGGAAGTTAACAGGAATACAGAGGAGTAGTAGGGGGAGATGTGACGAATTGCTACCTATACTAACAGGAATACTTGATGCAGAAGAGTAGACAGTAGTTCTCTTCATTTATTCACGCTAATGTAGCCGGAAAACAAAGTACGACGACAGATAAAACATAACGCTCAGTTCAGTTGAACAACAATGATCCGAGCACGGAAGTGCGGTGGATCCAGTTGTCACGACTCACATCGAGAGAATAAACAACAACGGCAAGATAGTGGGGCTAAAGGCAAATAGGATGTAAACAAAATGAAAGCAAGAGGGAAGTGTGTTAAACTAAACAGAATGGAACGAAAATTAACAACCAGATACAGGGAAACGAACGCAGGAATGCCGCAGGAACGCCGACATAAACCTCCGAACAGGGCAGTGCATTTGTACGTTAGATGAGAAAGGTAATGGATGTTTCGGAAGAACAACAACCAAAGTGGCCCCAGGGAGTTCTAGCGTTAAAGGATGAAAACAAATTTCAGAGGGTAGAAAAAATTCGATTTGAGGCCATAGAAACCGTAACCATTCGCGGATCTAGCAAAACCGTAATCAAGGCATGCGGACTGGGTTGTTGTTACAGCGAACAGCATCATCAACAGCAGTACATGAGCCAGTTGAACTGATGTTTCGCTGTCATACAACCGTAACGAACTAGGGGACGAAGACCAAGAAGGGAGAGACAAGGGGGACTTACCGAAAAATCTTAATGCTCTAAACAAACACTCAGGGTCAAGGCGCCTACGCCTTGCCAAAAACGCACTGCCCCAAACAGCTGACTATCGTGCAAAGGTAAGGCAGCATGGGCGAGACAGCTTCCTTGCTGCACTCAATAATAATAATATTAATAACAATCATAATCAGTCATTACCCCGCAGGTAAAAAAGCACCAAACACACTTTAAAAAGGCAATCCGGCAAGGGAACGGCAGCAGACGCGCCACTGGTGCCGACTGCAAGCCATGTTGTGGAAAGACTCAAACCAAGCACAAGGCGGGTTATGTGAAATCCAGCCTGGAAGGCGAAACGGACCAACGGAATCGAGTTTGGTCCTCAGTGACTTCATTTCCCTCTGCCAAGTCAACTTTTGTCCACCTCGAGCCTTGCGCCACCCTAAATCTGGCAGACTAAACAAGGCCGATTTCAGCAAGTGGTGACTGGACATACGTGGTAAGTGCCTAAACCAACGCAATTTATTCAGTGACATCTGTTCTAAGGAACTAGCCTGCTTATCACTGCCCAGTAATCGCCTACACACATTATCGTTGCGAACACATTGGTGCCATCCGACACCAGCAACGCTACACAGACAACGATAATCAAAGACCTGAAGGTGCTCCAGTTCCTCAGATCAGAGGGTCCAAATCTCATTGCCATAGAGGAGGACGGACCTCAATGTGGCCATGTAAACACGGCGTTTAAAAAGGAGGGAACTCCTTTCTGTCGCAGATTCAAAGTGGCAGTCCTGGCCTTTGCAACACGTGCACTGACTTCAGTTGCTACGTGCCCATCGTTGCTGAAAGAGCTGCGAAGGTATGTGAATCGATCAACTACCTCGAGTTACTCGTTATCATGGGTCAAAGGGTCATCAAGTGGCGGGTGGTCCTCACAGTCTGTG